CAGCCCCCCCCCCCCTGGGAGACGCACGCTTTGGGCTTTCACCCCTTGACCCGTATTAGTATTTGGACTTAGTCTCTGGCTCGGTCTCGGACCCGATTTCGGATCCGACTTCGGATTCAGTCTCGGACTCGATCTCGGACTCGATCTCGGACCCGACCTCGGACTCGACCTCGGACTCCGTCTCGGACCCGATTTCGGATCTCGGACTCCGTCTCGAACTCGGTCTCGAGCTCGGACTTCGTCTCGAACTCGGTCCCCGAGTCGGTCTCGGACTCGTTTCGAACTCGGTCGCCGAGTCGGTCTCAGACTCGTTTCCGGACTCTATCTCGAACTCGGTCCTAGAGTCGGTCTTGGACTCGATCTTTGACTTGGTCCCATCCGATGAACTCTTTGTCATTTTGGTCATGCTTTTGGGGTTCCTTTAACCTACGACACCTCGACGAGTTGGTTCCTTACAACTCCACCACCCATAGAAGAAGTTCGATGCCCACATCGAACGTCTTGTTTTATCCTACGATTTATTGACCATGTCTCCGGGGGCATCCCCCCACTTAGCGGTGTGCCTAAGTTAGCCTCCCCGGCCAAGAGCCCATGACAATGGAATATAGGTGTCCCTATACCCCTCACGTCACCACGCCCTAGTATGGGGTCGGGACTTGAACCCAGCCTTGCTTTACTAGGGGTTTGGGACTTGAACCCAACCTCCGTAGAATACGTCTACGGATGCGACATCCCCGCGGGGAGTCAGGCGTAGTGCCCTACGCCTGGTCGACCTATCCAACCCATGCTAACTAGTTACCTTCGGCGCGCTTTCGGGTCCCAACATATGCCACTTGCTCAACTTTGCAAATTGATATTTTTAATTGAACTTTGCATAAGTACATAGAGTTCTGCCTTGCAGAAATTCCTCCACTAGATCTCGCGTGTTCGCTAGGTTCTCCTCCGGTTCCCATGTTGCTTCGCAGTGTGGAAATCCTTTCCACTTCACATGGAACTCTCTCACCTCGCGTCCTTGTCACTTGCTCTTGCGC